GGTACAGTATTGGCATATCAACTCCAGATAAGTGAGACGAACCCAAGGAGCCAGGTGGCTCAGGGTTAGGCAGTCCGATCATCAGCGTGATTTCCTCATTGAGGCCCAGAGGAGAACACAGTATCTTCACAAATGCCAAACAGGCAATTGATAACATTTATGGGCTGATGTTGATTTTAAAAACATCATCTTGAATCTACTAAGAATCCAAAAGATTTCCCTAATAGTCAGCAGCACTTGTCATCTTCAGTGGAGTTGGTAGAGGCAATCCCACTGAAACCAGGGGAAAAAGCAAGCAAAACAGTGACACAGTATTTGATGCTTTCGTGCAAGGTTTATAGAGAAGAATACCTAAGGGGGAAGTATGATTACCTGATAATGATGTGATTATTGGGCTTAGAAAACCCATAAGAATCAAGTACATAATCAGTAACAAGAAAGATCAATCGGTAGATAATAGTACAGTACGTGTTTATGTATATAAAATTAGCTTTTCTTTCAGAATAATTAAGAATAGGGAAAACAATAATGACAAATATATGTCACTCATAAATAAAATGTCTCAGGCTTATTCATGACAAGTCTGCTGGGTGCAGATAAGGTCTCAGTAAGACCTGCCATGTACTTGGCTGGAAAGGCTCAATTCTTGTTGATTTACATATTTGATTCAGTTCCTTTAAAATTCCGAAGGAGCTTAAAAGAATAAAGCACCTGTCAATTTTAAGTTCATCTAGAAGAATGACAACAATCCAGGAAGGCCAAGGAGCCTAGTTAATGTGGCTCCAATTACCTGGAATTGCAAATGTGGTAGGTTGTGTATACACTTAGTTTAACAAAGGGTGAGTGTTCAGCACGTGTGGGACTCATCATATTGGTTTGTATTCTGGAAAAAAAAATGTAGATTCCTTATGCACTTTCCCTTGCAGTTCTACCACCCAGAGAAAACTACTTCCAGTATTTACATGTTAAGCATTTCCCCACACCTAGAGCTTGTTTTTCTAAAAATGATGCACATTTTTATTTGCTCTGTTATTAACATGAATATTTTTATAATTGCATGTTATGTCTTTAATACAGTAACTGTGTAGGCCTAACCATATCAGGAACCGTGAGAGTGGCATCCTCTGGCATCCATTTTGTGTACTCAGTCAGCTCTCAGTCCTTCGGGGAGTTGGAAAACGGTCACTGAGATCTTGGCCTGTGTTCTGTGACTCAGATGAACATATCTAATAGAGACAGCCTGCATGACCCCAGAGATAGCAAGTGAGAGGTTTCTGAAGCAGTGGTGAGGAGGAGAGGGCTGACAGAGCACCCCTGAAGCCCAGCCTTGGTTACTATAGATCCTTCTCCAGGTACCTGAGCTATTACTGATGTTGCTTCAAATTTCTGTAGCTGTTGCTATCGTGCTGCTGCCCGTGTATGGTGGGGGCACATTGTGCTAGCCAGGCTCTGTGCTCTCCACTTCATTTAATTTTCATGCTGGCTCAGCTAAGTGAAGGTAGGATTGCCGCCTCAGTTCAAAGCAAGTGTGGGAGGTCAGTCCAACTCTTGAAACTGGCCTGTTCCCCAGGTTGCTGTTTAATACATAAGATCAGGATTTTAGATCTCCTTCCTTTTTTTAGGAGGTTGATTACTAATTGGATTTTCACTGCTTTCCTCTCCTCACTCACTCCTGGAAGTTCTCCAGCACAGATAAGCATTTTAGATAAAGCCCCAGAATCTTGAAGCAAAATTTAGTCCAGTGAGAGTTTGAGGATTTCCACACTGAGGAAAAAATTTATTTTTCTTACTTCAATGCTGTAGCATCCTTTACTAGTAAGGCCCAGGACTGTATGGTCACTGAGAATTCAGTGTGGAGACTGTTTATTTACTTCAGCATGTGTTTAAGCATTTCTACGTAATCATCTTTATTTTAGCCATCTTAAACGTTCATGACTCATTACCAAAAAATAGACCAGAGTGTCTATTCTGATGGCTGTCACAGGCAAAGGTACGTTTTCCTGTTCAGGCCCTTCGGAACGGCTCAGCCTCCTCTCCTTGCTCTGCCCTCTCCATCACAGTGTTGTGTGTCTGAGTAACCTGGGATCCAGTTCCTGTGGGTTCTGAGAAGACTTTGGAGGAGGATCGAATTTTGGGTTGGAGTCTTTCATGCATGATCTTTCCTAAAATTGATTCACCTGAGAATGCACCCTTGAACTGGCTGCTCTCCAGGTTCTCCTTTCCACCTTTCCTTTATCAGTGCCCATCATGTTCCAAAAAAAAATAAACTATATCTCTTAGCCAAATTTTAGCTTATGCATCCCCTAACAATGTGCATAAAAACAAAATAATCTTCCAGAGCACCAAAGCCAGGGACAGTTCAAAATACTATTTTCAGAGAAGTGTCTTTTATAGATTAATGTAGACATCAAAACTTCTGTGAGGCTCTGTGGCCATCCTACCCTGTTGTGTGCAGAAATTTTTCTAAGGTAGATGCTAAGAGTTTCTGACTAGATTATAGAGGGGACCGTGAAGATGTTGACAGCTTTCGTGAATGCTGTCAAAGAATGTATTGCCTTTAAGGAAACATGTATAAGCATAAGCAGTTCTTGTCAGCTGTTGACTTATTCCAAGCACAAGTTGTTAACTGGAAAAAAAAAAATGTCTTCTGATGCTAAAGTGAGACACATGAGTAGTAATGGTTCTAAGGTACCCGTGATATCTGCAGGATTCCTGGAGACACTGAATTAAATACACAGATTAGTGAGAATTGTGTGTGATTTCTTTTGGATTAAGTGTGTGCTCATACAGAAGTTGTAACTAATTTAGCCCATCACAGGTCATGAAATAGTCTGGTGATAGTCCATCTTATTTCCTATTGTAAAATCAATGCCTTAGGCTGGGTGTGGTGGTGCACGTATATAGTGCCAGCACTCAGAAGACTGAGGCAGGAGGATTGCCATGAGTTCGAGGCCAGAATGGGCTAAATAGTGAATTCAAGGCCAGCCTGAACTCTACATAGTGAGGCACCATTTTGAGAAAAAAAGACTGGCATTCCCTCTTGGACTTTTTGGCAGACATTCCCCTAAATTCAGAGAGTGTAATCTACAGCTGTAAAATTGTGTGAAGTTATAGTTCAAGCATATGTACAGTTTATTTAAACGTTTTCTAATTGGCAGAAGTACATGCTGACCATGTGTACTTCTTGCAGTAATATTTAAATAAAATGCATGAACTTAACTAGGGGAAGAACAGTTACTTCCATTTTTTTCTTTTTGTGGTACTGTGGTTTGAACCCAGGGCCTTTGTCCTTTGCTACATCCCCAAGTCCTTTCTTCATTTTGAGACAGGATCTCACCTCTTACCAGGTCCCTTGCTACATTTCTCAGGCTGGACTCAAACTTCTGATCTTCATTCCTCACCCTCCTAGATTGCTGGCATTACAAGTGTGCACTGTCACATCTAGCTCACATTCTTTTTTTTTTTATATTTAAGAAAATAAATATTAGAGAAAAACATTAAAAACTATACAGAATTTCAGAACAAGGTGATAGGAAATCAACAATGGTTGTTATATTGCATATTGTTATCTTCAAAGTAGTTGTTCAGACTACCAGATATAAGCATGTAAAATTGGTCAAAAAAAATAAGCAATAACTGTTCCTTTCAATAAACCAATAGAAATTAGTAGTACCATTATCTTACCTAGTTTATGTGTGTGTGTGTGTGTGTGTATATTTTTCCCCCTTCTTTCTTTTCTTCTTTCCTTAGCAGTTTCTTTCTGTTTCACAATATCTATTGAACCTTTCAGATTTTATTTACTTTTTCAGGTTCTTACACTAGGGAGACAATACGATGTTTACACATGTGGGTTTGATTTATTTCACTTACGAGTATGGTCTCTAGTTGCATCCATTTACCTATAAAAGCCTCGAATTTATCTTTCTTTATAGCTGAGCAACACTCCGTTGTATTAAAATACCACATCTTTTTTATCCATTCCTCAGTTGATGGGCATTTGGGTTGTTTCCAAGATTTAGTTCTTAACAAATTCCATTGCTATAAAGATGGGTGCACATATGTCACTGTGGTATGATGTTTTCAGTTCTTCTGAGAAAATACCCAGAAGAGGAATAGCTGGGTCAAATGGGACCTCCAATCCAAGTTTTTTGAGGAATCTCCACACTGATTTCCACAGTGATTGTACAAGTCTACACTCCCACCAACAGCGAAGGGTTCCTTTTTCCCCACAGCCTCTCCAGCATTCGTATTGGTTGAGTTCTTGATGATAGCCATTCTTTCTGAGGTGAGATGGTTAAAATACATTTTCAGTACAACTTTACTTTTAGTATCATAGCTACTGAAGCTTATGACATTTTATTTTTCATATTAATAATTATAAGGGTACTCATTTAATTCTCCTTGACCAGAAATTGTAATGTCAGAAGTTATACCCATATTTGTATGGCAAAGAAATATGCTAGACCTCATAGCATAAAAAACATCCATCAGTAATTCTGGAGCTCAGTGGAACAGTATACAAGTTCAAGAAGAATAGGAATTGATGTGGAATTTCTCACTGTCAAAGAGACCCTGGATGCCTGTTTTGCCTTGGCCTAGCCACAGGCTACTCTGCAACATGAAAACAAGTAGAGCAATGAGAAAGGAGAAACTACATATAGAGAATAGTCCAAGATCATCTGGAGCAGATGAACAGAAAGGATATATTTTAAAATGTCATGGACCCCTCTACCCTATGAGGGACAGCTGAATCTGTGCACTCCACAAATGAGACCTGAGTTGGTACAGTGCTGCAGTAGTAGTAATCTAAGTAGTAATTACAGTAGTAGTAATCCTAACTACTCAGGATGCTTAGGCAGGGAGATAACAAGTTCAAGGCCAGCCCGCTCAACTTAGTGAGACTCTGTCTCTAAATTCAGAAGGTGTAGTACCGTGCTACCTTACGGCGAGGCCCTAGTTCAATCCCCAGTACTACCAAAAACAAAAAACAAAAAACCTACCTCAAACCCTTACCTTCGCCCTTATCATCACCATCACCATCAGATCAACCTGTTAATATTTGCACTTTAAAGAGATCCTTCAGGCACCTGGGAAGAAAGCATCAAGCTGTGTGCAGGGATAGTCAGTGTAGCATGTGTCTGGCAGCATCAGACCAAGGGCTTCACACCCCAGCAGTCTTTGTCTGCTGAGTATGGAGGCTTCAGATGTCCAATATAGGAAGCTCTCAAGACAGGACACTGCAAGAGAAGCAGGCCTGTGGAGTGAGGCCAGCAGGTCAGCTCTCGGCACATGCTGCTCAGAAAGTTAAAACCTGCTGGGAAAAAAATGCACCTTAGGTAGCAGAGTCAGCTGCTCCCATTTGAAATGGAAACAGAACAACAAAATCCTAAAGGAAGAATCAAACCTCTTGGGTTTATTATTTTTTTCACTCAGTGCCTTTGCACTGAACTACATCGCCAAAATATCCTTCCTTCCTTTCTTCCTCTCTCTGTCTCTGTCTCTGCCTCTGCCTCTGTCTCTGTCTCTCTGTCTCTGTCTCTCTGTCTCTGTCTCTCTCTGTCTCTGTCTCTGTCTCTCTCTGTCTCTCTCTCTCTCTCTGTGTCTCTCTGTCTCTCTGTCTGTCTCTGTCTCTCTCTCTCTGTCTCTCTCTCTCAGCTCACTAAGTTGCCCACTCTGGCTTCAACTTAGATTTTCCTACCTCAGCCTCCATCTTATTCCCTTTAACTTTAGCTTTATTAGAAATTTCCCTGTGAACTTGTCACTGGTCCAGTCTCGCATGTACTTCTGCTATATTACAGGTTGAGACATGGGGACTCACAGTTTTACTTGGCCAAGGTCACCAGGGACCAAGATTTGAGCCCAGCCATTGAACTCCTTAGTACCTGCTTTCTGCCTGTGTGTTCACATGGTTATTCCTGGGTATTAGGATTCTTTTTTCTGCTTTGAACTTAATAATTTTTATAAACACATATTTGTAAAACCAATGACATGATGACTTTTGAAAAGGGAACTGGAGAAAAACTAACTACCTGAAGAATTTGGGAGCCACTCAGCCTGCTGCTGAGCATGGGTCTGGCACTGCCCAATGGCAGGATGTGAAAGACTGCTTTCTTCCTCTCTTGACTCTCATGCCCTGTGTGGCTGATTCCTAACTACTCAGGAATTAGTAGTACTCAGTACTACTTTGTTGTACTTGTGTCTCCTGCCTGCCTGCCATTGATGGAGTTAGAAGGAATGAACGTCATGGGTCTGGTGACAGTCTGGCAAGAAGATGTATATGTCTTATTTTCTAATCAGAATCCTGGTACCTCATTTGTTTGTTTTACCTCTTACCTCATGATCCGTCCTGTTGAGGAAGTTTTAGTCCATCAGGCTATGCAGAATGACAGTTAACCAGAAAGCAGACTTCCCTGTAGTGTTCAGTGAGGGAAGAGCCTGACCAAGATTGCGTTGTGGATGTGCTGGTTTTTATCTGTTTTTTAGGAGCCTCAGAGTCTACTCAAGGAAAAATAAAAGGTGACAAGATCAGCCCTCCTCGCTTCCATGCAAGCCAGAACAGTTGCATGTGTGGGAACCTCGCAGTGCCCAGTGGAGGTTGGCCAGCACTGGCTCCAGTGGCTGGGATGCCTTGCATCCAGATCCCAGTGCTACAGGTAGGAGCCAATGAGCCGCACTGGAGGTTTAGATCTGGGGCAGGCTGGGTGGGAGGGGTCGTACCATGCCTGCACCCCCCACCATCTAATGAACTGCCCCACTTCCCTCTAAACTGCCCCAAGTCCTGTTTCACATCCCAGAGAGCTTAATAACCCCCCGCTTCTCTCTTCTTCCCAGCCTGTCTCACTGCATCCGTGCAAGTTCTTACCTATGTTAGGACTGACGCATCAGGTTTGTGGCACTGTTACCCTGTGTCTAGTTCCCCTGTGTGCTTCATCTCTCCTGTCTCTCTGAGGAATAGATGGCTATATCCCTGTCCTGCCAAGGGCCCCCTGTGGCTTTCATGTGCAGGATAAAGACTTTGAGGCTGCCTGAGGCTGATTGTGATGATGCCATGAAGCTGCTGGTACCTCACACTACCCCACCCCGCCCTGCCCCAGATCATGCACTACTTTCTGAGTGAAGGGGCTCCTTAAACCATGTCAGACACCTTGCCTGTGGGGACTGCTCCCAGCACATGGGTAGGTACAGCCTTCCTATGTTATAGGTGGTAGAACCTTTTCATTTGTTTTTCTGTCTTTAGTACCTGAAGGTCAGACCCAGCTACCTTCTTGAGTCTCAGCAGATGCTTGAAGCTGGCAGCTAATGCCTGGGCATCTGCTGAGCACAGACCCTTCAGCAGACCCATGTACACCTACACTTTCAGTCTCATTTCTAAGGGCCTAGAATAGGGAAGCAAGACATTTAGATGCAGAGAAATCTAGTTGACACGTGGCCAGGTCCCGTGCACCTCTACATTGACCGTAACTGGGGGCTGTCAATTACCCTGTCGTAGGCAAAGACAACTATAGATACTAAAGAGCAGCCAAGTGCTGAGCTCAGTCTGATTTTAATACTTAGAAGGAAAATTTAGAGACAGGCAAGATCCATTGGGTCTGCAGTCCTGGGTGACTCTGAGTGGCTGTGAACAACCTACATGGCTCAAGAAAGTGAGAGAGGAGGGACTCGCCAGGTTAAAGGGTAAGCTGGGGGTAGGCAGTGAAGGTGGGTGCCAGAGCAAACAGAGAGACTTCTTCATAGAAGAGAGCAGGAAAACACGCCACTTCCAGGTTTGAGGAGATAAAGAATACGGGCAGTGAAGGAGGTGGAGACTTGTCTCAAGGGAACCCAGTGTCAGCAGCAGGTCAGAAGTAGAGAAGGCAAGGCCAGGAATTCTGAAGTAGAAAGACTGCAGGAAAGCTGGTACCATGAGCAGAAAACGCGCAAATTGGAAAGGGCATAGAGGGTATTTCTTAAGGATCACTCAATGAAAAAGACACTGAGATCAGAGAAACCTGGGTTTGAACCTTGAATCTGTCCCTTGCGAGCTAGTGTAAAGCCTTGGTCAAGTTACTTAAGTACTGTGGCCTCCGTTTTGCTGTCTGTAAAATGAAAACAGTAGGGTACAATGCCTGACATCTAGGTCTCAAGTCAATGAAGAATAGAAGATGGGGCGGGGCAGCAGCCCAAGACACTCATTGTTGGAGCTGTGAGCAGCCACGGGCTAGATGTGAATGTAGAAGACCGCGGAAGTAACCGTGTCCCTTTTGGATCACGGGTAGTGTGGCAGCCTGCCCCTGCATCTGCTCTGGTCCCTCCCATTTGGCCTGTGGGCAAGCCAGGGCACACAGGGAAGACCTTTGTATAGATGACAAACTGGGGTCTACAGCCATACCACCCTGAACGCGCCCGATCTCGTCTGATCTCGGAAGCTAAGCAGGTTTGGGCCTGGTTAGTACTTGGATGGGAGATGACAAACTGGGGGCACCCATAAGGAACTCATGAGCACTTCGTAGAAGGGAAGGAGGACAGCATTCAGGTTCAGGCCAAGGAAAAGATTTGTGATAAAAGGAGGAACTGGGAAACAAAGGAAAAACCAGACAACAGAAGATTCTAGGCCTAATTGAACTTAGTCTTCTGATCCTTGGGCAGGGATCAGGGTACGACTGGGGACAAATAGCCCCCCAGCTCATAACGCCAATTACCGCCGGGTCCCTGAGCTGCAGCTAGAATATGTGAGTGGGCCAGCTCTATTCAGCATCACAGTGAAGGGTGTTCCCAGGGCAAGATGAGGAATGTTGGTGTGCTGTGTTTAAACATGTGAAAGGCCTTTTTGATGGTTGCCTTCTCAGGATGACCCCTCAGGTGAAGGAGTCTTGCCGCTGGCCCTCAGCCCACAGCCCTCCACCTTCCACCCTTACTTCACCATGGATTTGCCTGTCTACGTCCTTCAGGTCTGGATGCCTTCCAACTTTGTTTTTTTTAATTAAGACTGTTACCATAGTGTGCAGGTCACTTACTAAGGTAGGCCTGCGGTGAAGCCTTGGTTGGGCTGGTATGTTTACTGCCTTTTGGAAAAGACAATGACATGGTTATAAGTAAAGCTCACAGTTGCTTATCGTAGCATAGACAAGATAAAATTTAATATACTCTTAAACTATTTTATATTTAAAAATTCTGTTTACTTTCTCCTGTGGGAAATAAGCTGGCCAGTTTTTACCTTGAGGGACAAAAGACCCAAACAAGTTCAGTAGTTCCTTAAGTGGTTAACCTAAGACCTGGTGGCCATGGATAATTTAGATTTGGATAGTGAAATTTAGATTTGAAAGAGTGAAAGTACATAGCTTATCAAATTTTTAACAGTTTGACTTAAGTATATTTTTAAAATCCATTCACATAGTTTTAGTTTTGTTGGATTAAAATGGAGCTGTTGAACACTTTCATTAACATGGAGAACCAATTATCAAATAAAACACTTACAAGAGGCAGAGGAGCTACACTCCTAGACAGCTGGAGGAAAGTAAGGTGGAGGACATTCTGGCAGAATATATCAGAAAATCCTCAGAACTGTCTATTCTGTTCTGCCCAGCAACCCCACTTATGAGACCGTTTATGAAGAAATTAGGTAGTGAGCTAGCTGAAAGATGCTCAACCACATCCTATAAGCTAGTGATGCCAGAGGAGGAGTGTTATCTTCCAGTAGGAGGAGGGCAGGCTAGATGGTGCTGATACAGTTAGACGGCTCACCTCCTGCTCAGCTGTCGATGGCAGACTCCGGCACTTAATACCCAACAGGCTGCTTACCACATGCCACATGTAAAAAGGGTTTCAAAACTAAACAAAGATGATTTCATTTTTCTAAAAAGATACATGGGTGCTTTAATATGTGTGGATATAGGAAAAAAATTGGAAAAATTTATAGAGTTCATTTTCCCTTTTAAAAGATAATTTGGGTGATGGGGATTTAGCTCAGTGGCGCAGCACCTGCCTGGCAAGCGCAAGGTCGTGAGTTTGATTCCTGGTACTGGAAGAAAAACAAAAAAACAAACAAAAAACAAAAATAAAAGATAATTTGATGTTTTTCTTTCAAGGAACTCGGGTTTAAAATAAGGGGAGAAGATGTTTTGAGTTAAGAAATGTCAGGTGCCTTATTATTGCTGGCCCCTGAGGGTTTAGTTGCCTGTTGTAAGAAGCTGCGGGGCTGTGTTCTGTGTTCCTGACCACAGACCGTGGCCTCTGCCCTGCCTCCCTCCTCTTTCCCTCCTCACTGCTCTGCTTGGTTTTGCAGGAGGTGCTTCCAGCACCTGGAGGTATTGCTGGGCCTGAGGCTGCACAGGTGCCAGGAAGCACTATCAACTTGCGGGATCTGCAGTGACAGCAGCCCCTTCCTAAGTGAGGTCAGGGCCTCCTTCCAGCTCTGCCTCCCGGATGACTCAGATGATGTGGTACAGGGCCTAGAAGTCCAGCCTCATTCTTTAGAGACTTTTGAGTACATTTATCAAAAGTATTTCCTTCTGTTTTATCAGGAACCAGTTGGCAGTGTACTCTTTGAAAATGTTTTATAAGCAGAGTGCTTCGGTGAGGCACATACTACTTTGTCTATGTTCAGCTGGGTGCTTTACAGCCGTTTTCCCAGATCCTATTGGATCTGAGCTGTGTAGCACACAGTGCATTAAAAAGAGAAAAAGAAAAGACATGTGCAGGAAGTAGGGTTGCATATAGGTTCTCCGCTCAGATACAGCTTTGTCTATAGTAAGTCCAAATGCAGTCTTTCGGCTTCAGTGTTTCAGTATTTTGCCCAAGAGGGATTTAGAAGTCCCACTTTCCTTTTCTGAGAGCTGGTGTGATGGGCCATATCTCAACACTGAATGGTTTTCATGGATGAATCGTTTTTGCCACACTGTGAGCCAAAACTTGACCTATTGCCACGGTGAAGCCAAATTCTGATCCAATTCTGGCAAAGCAGACAGACAAGACAGTTTGGGAAGAAAATGATTGGTGTGTCTTGGTGCCTGACAGTGAGCTTTTTTCCCAGAGCAAATGCATAGCTCATGATTTGGAGATGGGAAAGTTAAAACTTTTAAAATAATTTTCTAAATTCTGTATTTGGGCATTCATGTTAAATAGTAATTTGACAACAGTTTATAAGGTGATGTTCTGAATGCTATAAATTATATGTAAGACTAATAATGGCACGCATCTGTTTGCTGTTGGAGGTTATAGATACAATAGGTCCACTTATATTTTTGCAGAATAAGGTCTGTGTTGCAAGAGCAGCTAAGTTGATTACCTTGCACATACTTGTTAGTTAACAAACTGAACATGGGGTGGCTGAGAAATTTTTTTCCTTGTGCCTTTTGAAGTGTATGTTTATTCAGATACTGTTTAGTTTTCAGATGTGGTGTCATCCAAGCTCTTCCCTTTCTGGGTTTGTTTCTCAGACATTGGGACATCACCTTTTGGAAAGGATGCCTAGTTTGAGTGTTAAGTCCTCTCTGTGTCCTGCTTTGAAGTGCTGTCTACCCAGGTGCTGCATGCCCCAAAGGAATTACAGCCCCATTTGAGAATCGTTCCTTTCCACATGTCTGTGCTGTATCTGAGACCCAAGCTGAGGGGTTGAACTTGCTCACAATGTTATCCAGTGCCCTCTCCCTCCGTGGAGAGCAAGGCATCCTTGTCTCCTCAAGGACCTGCACCCAGGAGCCCATCTTACAGGCGAGCTTCTGCCTTTCTCCCACAGTCCCCAGTGAGTGTCTACCACTAAGTGATTGGGACAGACTGTCAGTGTTCTGGGCACCAAGGCTCCCTTCCTGCTGGCGATGGGCCCAACTCCTAATGCAAAAGAATAAAAGTTTTTGTATTCTCACAAATCAAATGTGTTCACCCTGACTTCATTTGAGAGACTGTGTGTATGTTGTTGAAATCATTTCATCTGGCCAGCTTGCCTCTGGTTTTTGTCTTTTGGGGCTGATGGCACATATCCCAGCATGGATTGGCTTTTGTTTCCCAGCTGTTTTAGATGAGAACCAGGATGGCTCCTTTTCTCAGGCATTTGCTTAGGATTAAAGATTAGAGAGGGATGCTGCAAGATACAGGCGGTGGCTGACTCCTTAATCAGGCCATGAAAACATCAAAGAAATATGTATTTCTGGAAGCTCAAAGGAGACACAAGGGCAGAGTCAGGATCCCTTCAGACCCAGCCTGCTTCTGCTGCTGACCTCTTCTGCACTTTTAGCCAAGCCAACTGTGGCCTCGTAAGGGCTAAGTGAAGAAGTATAGCTTCTCCTCCTGGTCTTTGTCCATCAGCGTGTGATCAGAGGTCTCCTTTACTTTGGGAGGTGGAGGTTGAGAGCGGCACACCAATCTTCTGCCTCTCTGCAGAGGGAGTACGCTTGATGAGCTTGAGCTTTTCGCCCTCGTCCACCAAGAGTGCCGTGTAGACACGATAATGCCCATATACCCTTCCCCTTTTCTGAGAAAAGGCCCAGAAAGCTCAGCCTCTCTACCTTTTTCTTGATCTCAGCCTGGGCCCGGGCCCGAGCCCGCTGCAGTCGCTCCTCTTGCAATAGCCTTTGCAACTGGACTTTCTCTTCCCGAAGCCTAGGTGGCAAGAGATGTCATGCAGGACCTGACTCTGGCCTCTAGGGAGCTGTTCTAAGATTCAGATTGAACACCCGCAAGAGGCACATTTCCCTAGATTCACATCCGTATCCCTGATGTGTGTGCCCATAGCTCACATTCACCTACAGTGGCCCAGTACCTGGCCCTGGGTCCTTCCTGCCATCAAACATTTGTCCAGTCCCCGCTCAAAGCTGAGTGCTGGGGACCTAGAGGAGAAGCGTCCCACCCCACCATGTCTGTGGGAGAAACAGACATTTGCAGAGGCTGTATCTCAGGATCCTTTACTGACAAGTGAATGACCCAGGCAACCCATGAGCTAGAGAGGCCATGACCCACATCCCATCTAGATCATATGCGGTTCTCTCTGGGCCAGCCCATGCCCATTTGTCCCACAAGACAAGCGAGCTGGCACGTGTTCACCCCAACACTTGGCCCTGCGCTGGGAGTCCTGGGCTCCCCTGAACCCTTGCACCCAGCCTCCACACTTGGAACTGCTGCCTGTGCCTCTCTCAACAATCGCTGCCAGCCTCAACCCCAGCTTCTGCTCCTCCTATCCCGCCCAAAATAACTAAGCCCTCCCTGGCCCTGGCCTTCCCCACTTAAAGCCCTGCCCTGAGGTCCCTGTCCTTGGGATCCAAGCTTTGCTGGCTGCACCCTCGCGTGTTCCCCTCTTTTAGACCCTATCTTCTCAGTCTCCTGAATCCATGTTACTAATCCCTGTCACCTCCAGCTCAGTTCAGTTCCGTCCATGGGTACACCAGACCCAAGGTTCCATCTCATAGCATGGAGTACCTGGGCTTGTGTCCCTGGGGGAGGAGCACTGTAGGGCAGTGACCTCGGTATGCTGTGCCTCCAAGCCGGGTGGGGCAGGAGCAGGAACTTGGGCAGCAGGGCAGAAGAGCTCACCTCATGCGCCTTTCCTTCTCCTTGGCCTTCTCAGCCTGCTCAATCTTGGCTGGGGGTACACGCTCCAGGTTCTCGAGCAGCTCATCCAGCTGGTGCTCAATGATGGTAAGCATCTGCACGGTGCCCAAGTTGGCTTCTTGTTGGGTGCCCACACAGTGCTGGTACACATCTTGTACCTTGTGACTCAGGCTCTCCATCAGTTTGTCCTGCAGAGCAGAGCAGACTTCCAGCTATGCCTGCCCTCACACTGCCACCTGTTGGCACCAGGACCCATGGCCGTGGTGTGCTGACCTCCAGGATAGATCAGCCAGGACAGTTTGGGTACTGGGTTTTCTTAGCCAGACCAGCCCTGTCCTCCTGTCCTCACTGAGGCTTGCTCCTGACTCCGCTCCTCCCCTTGCAGCCCTGATAAGCCCACCAAGAGCCACTCTACCCTCTACCAGGGAGCCCTCCCCTGACCCCAGCTCCCGTAGGACTATGTTCTTTCTTTGTAGCCCTAGGCAGATGAACTCCCTTGCTTAACCGGCTCTGGCATTTAAAAAATAGTATCTCCAATAACGGGTTGTAGGTGAGGAGTGAAGAGCAGCAGGCAGAAAGGCCCAGGCCAGGCCAGGGCAGAGCCAATGTGAAGCCCAGCTAAGGCACAGATGCTCCTTCCTCACAGCTACTTCCCATGTCCCTGGCCCAGTTGCACAGAGGCATTTGGCAGTGTCACACTGTATTAGGAACGGAATGAATTAGTCCTCGAGCTGCTGTAGTATGGACATGTGCTGAGCCCCTGGCCAGACCCCAGTTCCTGCTGCCCAGAATATCACTTAACTTCTGTCCCCTCAGAATTCTCACACTCCCGGCCTGCCTTGAGAACCTGCCTCTTCCTCAACCCTAGGGTTGCCTTGAAGGACACCTTATGTTTAAGAAGCAGACAAGATGGGCTTGCAAGCACATGCCTGTAGTCGTAGCACACAGGGAAACTAAGGCAGGAGGATTGCAAGTTCAAACCTAACCTGGGCAACCTAGTAATTTAGTGTGACTCTTTCCAAAATAAAAAATAAAATGGAAAGAGAGCTACAGATACAGCTCAGTGTAGAGGCCCTGGGTTTATCCCCAGTAGAGACAGAAATGAAGCAGGGTGGGGTGGGGAGATTTGTGAAGTTAACACAAAGCAGGCGTATGGAGCAGCTGAGCTCATAGCATGAGTACCCAGGGGTAGCTGCTGCCGGGGGAATTTTTTCATCAGGCTCACAGAGCCTAGGAGGTAGGCTGGAACCTTACACCTGGGCCCCCGCTCCCATGAGCTGTCATAACTGGTCTGCATTCACCTGCAAGTAAGTGGGTTCCTCCCGCCCTACCCTGGGCCAGTGGTCACACTCCCTGCATGCCTACCTGCTGATCACCCTTGTACTCCCCAAAGTGGAAGACTCGAGATTTGAGCTCCAGCTCAGCAGCAGTCTCTTCCTCCTTGGCAATAGACATCATCATTGTGGTGATCCACTGCTTCAGCTGGTTCACCTCCCTGTCCCTGGATTGGGGGGTGAGGTCCAGAGGATAGTTCGCTCAGTGTAGCCCAGAGCGTGTGCTCTCTTGGAGCCTGGGCCACTGTCTGTAAGGCCTTGTCCTGATGACTACAGGATCATGATTGCCTAAGTGTCTACATCCAGGGAGTCAAAGATGCTGGCGCAATTCAGGGAATGAAACTTAAAATCTTTAGCAATGAACATCGAGAAAAGTAAAAACAGTTCCACTGAGGTATGATTCACGTACAATAAACATGCCATAAACTTAAAGTATAAAAGTGAGTAGTTTTTAGTATATTTACAGTCACATGATCATCACCATCATCTAATTTAGAACATTTTTATTACCTCAGAATGAAACCCTGTGCCAAATAGCAGTCACCACGTCCCATTGTCCCCTTCCCCCTTTGGCCTTAGGCAACCGCTGATCTACTTGTCTATCCTCAGCATTCCATGTGAACAAAATATGTGGCGTTTTGTGGCTGTCTGCTTTCACATAGCATAATGCTTTCAGAGTGTATCCATGTTGTAGCATGTGTCAGAATGTAGGAGCTTATGTGTCAGAACTTCTTAGGGCTGAGCAATATTCTACTATATGGATAGGCCACGCTTTGTTGAGCCATCTCTCCACTGATGGACCTTTGCATTTCTTTTACCTTTTGACTCTGAGGAGCAGTGCTGTTATAAATATTCATGTGTAGCTTTTTGTGAAAATAATGTTTTTAAATTTCGGCCGTATATATTCAGGGAGAGAATTGTAATACTAAACTTTCACAGTCATTACGGTACAGACATTGACCAGCATATGCTGGGGTTTCCTGAATGGGACTATGCTCTTATGCTGGCCAGAGCCCAAGCAGTGTTGGCAACTCATAAAAATCCTTATGAGAGTGAGGGCATAGACATCCTGCACTCCCCAGCAGTGCCTGGAAATCACTAACATCCCCATTCAAAAGACAGAATGGCTGAAAGGATTTTTTAAAAGACTCAATTATACACAGTCTACAGGAGACCTTAGATTTAAGGACACACACAGGCTGAAGTGAAGGGTTAGAAAAAGATAATCCATGCAAGTAGTAACCAAAAGAGAGTGGAGATCGCTACATTCATCTAAAACAAAATAAACCTTACGTTAAAAACTCAGAGGAAAAAGATCCAAGTAAAATCAGGAATTACAGAGGAGACATTTCAACTGATGCCACAGAGGTAGAATCATAAGGAACCTACTACATAGCCCAGAAGAAATGGACAAACTCCTAGAAACAGACACCCTATCCAGATTGAATCAGGAAGACACAGAAAGTCTGAAGAGATCAATAACAAGGAGATTCCATTAGTTAAAAACAAGAAAGTCCAGTGGACTGCAGGTTGTCTGTACAGTAGGCAGACTCTGAGATCCCAGTATCACCTGCCTCCTGTTGTTTACTCCTTTGAGCATGCTGACCCTAATGCTTTGCCGCCAGCCAATGCAATACAAGATAGGATTGTTACCACGCAAAGGTTTGGTCTGCTTACCACATGACAGAAGCCGGTTAGTTGAGAGGCAAGGACGGTAGAAAAAGAACTGGGTAATGATGAGCTTTTTGCAAGACGGGGGACCAGCTAAAGGGCATCTTGCCTGGGAGTTGATTGAGGAGTGATGTATATGGGTGAGTGACAGGTAATTGCAGACCAGTGGGTGCCTTCTCACCGACAAAGGATCCAGGTTTTTGGCCAGGTGGTGCACACTTATCTTAATCACCTAGTCACAAGATGTTTTTCAGTTCCGCCAATCTCAAGAAAACCAGTGATTATTTCTGTCATTATATCCTCAGGCTATTCCTGTTACTGGTTTAGTATGCCTACCCCACAGTTCCTGACATTACACAATAGACGGGGTAGAGCAGGCAGCCGCCTAAAGAAGACAGATGAGGGTCAGGTGAAGTAAAATGTAGAATTAGGCGCTTTAAGGGGGAGAGAGATCTTAAATGCTTTGCTTCAGTACCCCATTGTCAGACATCCATTTTGCAGCACTGTGCGATTTAGGTCAGATCTGGATACTTCTTGCTGAATGAGGACATCAGAAGGAAAAACGGAATGGAACAACCTGACCTTATGGGGAAAATAGCTTCTGGTACCTCTTCTTAGGATAGATTCGATATTGATAGATGTTTGGTGGTAAACTTTTCTGCTAAAAAGCATAAAGCATTCTCATGGAGAGTTAACAGACATCAGGACTTCTACCTTTCTTTGAGATACCTGAGCTCACTCTGTTTGCAAGTATACTATAGAGAATACCACGGCTTAGTCCATGTTCTCAGGCCATCAGCTTCAATTCACGTCAGCACACTCATGTATCAGTAACAGAGAACATACCATATAGCCTTCATAGCAGTCAAAAAAGGCAGTGTAAAAAGGGGAGGGGGAAGTAAGTACAAGTGTTGTTTCCCTTGACACATTCAGCCAGTATGGGTTATCTAAAAGCAAAACTACTTACACCGAGCAGGGTGATGCATGTCTGCCATCCCAGCACTCTGGGAGACTGAGGCAGGAGGAGCACAAGTTTGAGCCCAGCCTGGAAAATTTAGCAGTTTAGCCAGGCCCTGTCTCAAATTTTAAAAAACAAAAAAGTTTGGAATGTCATTCAGTGCCAAGGCCCTGGGTTCAACCCCAGTAAAATACACACACACACACACACACACACACACACACTTCTTACAACAAATGTGGATATCCAGTGAATGCAAAAAAAGGCTCATAATTCCCACCACTGTGTAACAGCCAACTATAACTCACCATACGTTCCTCATCCAGAAGATTTAGAATCCGTGCCTGTGCCAAAGCCTCCCCCACAACCACTGCCTTGGATGCCGATTCCCAACCAATTGTGTCACCAGCGTGAGAACCACTCTCGGAGTTATTTTCAGAACTAAAGGCCTGACTTAACTCCTTCTGCTGGTTGCCTTGACTTTGGGTATTACCTGAGGAGCCTACATGCCTGTCATCCGCCAGCGGCTCTGCAGCCCTGCCTGGGCCACAACCATCACCGCTGGATCAATGCTGAAAGCGCCACAGCTCATCCCTCTAGCTCTCTTACGTCCCTGCTTGTTTTCCAAGCCAGCCAGCCCCCTGCCCCCCGCCTGCTGTGACCAGATCTATCCTGATTCCCAAAGCCACCTGAATTAGCAACAAATTCTCTACTTTTTATGCATCCTCATTCTCTTAAATGATCAAGTTTTGTGTCCTTTCCACAAGAGTCTGGGTAACTTTGGTCATCTGCCAATGAAACCAAGGTAAAAGCCCTGAGAGGTTTGGGAAATAAAGATATCTAATCTACCCTTTTTCCATAGGACAGGCCTGCCGCCGCTCAGCAGTAGTCCTGTCCTATGTACAGTCCTCAAGAACATACTTGTTTTTTTTTTTTTCCAGTACTGGGAACTGAACTCAGGTGAACCCAAGGCCTTCACAGTAAGCTGCATCCCCAAGGCCTTTTAAAAAATTTTTTCTTTTTGAGATAGGGTCTCAGCAAACTGCTAAATTTTCCTGGCTGAGTTCAATCTTGCAGTCCTCCTGCCTCAGCCTCCCAGAGTGCTGGGCTATCAGGCATGCATCACCATGCCCAGCTAACAGACATCTTTCTGCTTCTTAATGGTTCGCCTGGGTTTTCCGCCCATTTGTTTCTTTTCTGCTCGTCTTTCTTACTAATATTTGGGAGACTTTACCACCTCCTCTTTCCAGTTGCAGCAAAACCTTCACCACCCTCCAGGCAAAAAGGAAAATTCGCCTGTCAGAATTAGCGAGTATTCAGTGGGACCCAAGGGTAAGGCACACCCTGTCGAGGAAGTCTCAGATTTGGCATTCATGGGGTAAGAGGCAAATAGTAGACACCTAAGCTCAAGAATCCTTCCATAGCATGGGGCCAGAGATCTCTCTGGTTTGCCAGGTCATTACTGACCTAAGGAGATCTCATATATTCTGGACTATCCTCCCATTGAAAGGCTTTTGAATGGATAAACCACTCTAAGGGAACTTAGGAGATCTTTGTTACTCTGGACAGCACCCCTGTTGCCATCAAATAATGATTTTTGCTCAAAAGAGTTGAAAATTACCAGTGGGCACTGTCTTGTAGTCCTTGTATACCAATCATTGGAAATTACCCTGAGGGAAAAAACCGCAAGAGTTCTAAAGGTATGGGGAACCCGAAGTCCCAGATAGGAGAGAAGCACCATGGATTTTGGGGGCTGTATCCTCAAAAACTGGAAATCATTTAGGTATTACCCACTAACTTGACAGCAGTTGATTTTCTTCCAGTACACTGTTTGACCACGGTTCCAACCTAGGAAATTTGCTCCCTTGGGGGCTCCCTGAGTTATAACACCATTCTTTAGTTAGACATTTTCTGTGAAAGAAGAAATGGGATGAAGTTCCTTTCATTCAGTTTTTTATATCTTGATTCAAGAGAATCAAGCAAAAAAACTGATTCCATCGAAGATAATACCCAAAGAATAGAAGTCCATACTATAGTATTGGACACCCTTTCCCATGACATGACTCTTTTACAATTTTATTTCCACCTAGGCTGGTAGCCCCTCCTTTGTCTCTGGCACCCTCGTCAGCCAGAGGCTCTTATTTCTCATACATACTCCCTTACCCTACCAGTGTCATCGCCCTTTCCCTCATGGCTCCCCCTAAAGACCGCCCTGCCTGTGGCTGGTACCTCTTACCAATCCTCAGATATGAGGCTCCTTAGGCTAGTCTTCAGTGGAAAGGAAAGATAATAACATGGCCCCTTCACAACTTCAGATCTTTACAATTGGAAGATCCAACCTGAGAGGATTGGGAAAAGCCAGAAGATTTTCTTAGCCCCATCTAACTAGACCTATGTCCAGTCCCTCATAAAAATCCTCTTCCAGAAGCAGAAAAGGACTTTGTTCTTTAAAAAAAGAAAAGAAGAAGAAGAAAGCAAACCATACCCACAGGGATGAGACAGCAGTCCAAGATATAAATCCTGCCTAAAACTGGATTC